CCTGACCTAAGTGGAGCAGGAAGGTGAGGTGTCTACTTAAATAGGGGAATTGGGGGAGTTTAGAGGCCTGAGTATGATGCAGTATTTGGGGAGAGGAAGTGGGGAGGGAGAGCTATTAGGTTGCTGGGCAGGGCATGGAGGGCTCCATGAAACTGGTTAATAAGATGCTTGGGGGAAGGGTGGGGGGTGCAGGGAGGCAGTAGTCAGGGACTGACCTAGAAGGGACTTGGAGCTTTTTGAGGAAGGCGGTTTAGGGAATTGGCAACGGGGAGAGAGGACAGTGAGTACTGGCTAGGGAGCAAGAGTTGACTGTTGGAAACACAGTGAGGGTGCTGGCGGGTGGTTAGGGCAGGTGGAATCTGATCAAGTGAGATCAGAGATTCTTAAGGAGCATTGCACATGTTGGCATTTATGTTTTGAAAATTGAGATTTATTTTGTTCTTACCAATGCTTTCATAATAGTTTTAGAAAAGAAAAAATATATATGAAATAGCTATATTGAGCCTTCTTTTGAAGTCTTTCAGTTCAGAAGCATGTCTCACTTTAGAAAAAATAAAGAAAATCCAATGTTAAAAGATTTTTGGGGAGGGGTAACTAATTCATATTTTAGTTTGACAAGACAACTCATTGGAGTTTCCTTAGAAATTCAGAGATGCACACTTTCCCTTGTTTACATAAGCTCAAACAATACAGAATGATTTTCAGTTATTTCTTTCAATGAGACAGAGGGGCCCATTTAGGTATAGCCAGAAAGATACCTGTAGAAAGAGGCATTCTTGATTTTTAACTACAAAAGCAGTAAGAAACCAAAATGTCAACCAGACATTATACATAACAGTGACAGAAAAGCATCATATTCATATAATTAAGACTGGTCTTAAATTTGGACATATAGGGGGTAATATAACCATCACAATTTGTTAACCTGTAGCAAAGCAAATAAAGTATAATCAGAGGAACAATGCTATGAGTTTAGTTGCACAGGTGCTATTTTCACTCTGTGTGTAGGGGGGGGAGGTGCTAGGAGAGGCTCAGTGAAGCAGAGGGAAGGTCAGGCAGGTGAGTCTTGATCAGCAATAAAGTCTCAGACAAAACATTAGCACGTCGGAATTATTGTGAAGCTTAAAAAATAAAAATGGGTGCTAGTGCTGAACCTTAGGGCTTCCTGAACTAGAATCTCCTGGGGAGGGACCTGGGCACCTGTGTGTTGAAAATGTTCTACAGGAGGTTCTGACTTGCCATTTCAGGGCTGGTAACCGCACAGCCTCTGACTTCCAAAAGGAGGGCCACTCTGAATCTTTTCCTTTAGGAGCAGGGAGTAAATACTCAAAGGGCTGTTTTCATACTGAAAACTCTGCACCCATGGTTGCCCTTTATCAGAAGTGTGCTGTTCTGCCCACCTGCCACAAACACCATATGGAACCGGCATTGGGGTGGAGGGAGGAGGAGTGTAAAGAGGAAGTGCACGGGGCTGTTACTCAGAGCAAATGCAGTGTCACCAGTGCGAAGATGTGTTCTTGAACTTATGAGCCTTCTCTTTAAAAGGTCCCTCAGAACCACTAGGTGAAGGATGCTTTAGAAAAGCAGATGGGGATGGAACTGGGAAACATGACCACATCAATGATGGTTAAATGAGAATTAGGTGAGGAGCCTAAAAGGCACTGTGCACTCTGGGGTTTTGGAAAGCGATGCATTTTACAGGATCTGACTTCCTTGGTGGGTCCTAGATCCATTGTTAACTGGATTTATGACATAGTGACCATGGAGCTCTATTCCCTCTTATATGGTAAAAATGATCTTTGAGGCAGGCAGCAATCCCATTCTTTAAAATTCTATAGACTAGTAAAAGTCAAATAAAACTTTTGGGAATTGACATATGGTTATCAACTTTTATATCAAGTAAGGACAGTGAAAAAGACTAAAAACGACAATGATCTATTATCATTTTATTAAAAGAGGGCTATTTTAATATCAGAAAGGAAGGATAACTTCAGAATTTAAAAACTGCACACATTGAACTTTGAAAACAACCTTACATTGCCCTTAGCTTTCTCATTTTCTGTGGACTGATAAGTTTATCACCAACTAATCTCTGCAAGCTAAGACTTCTTTGCCTTGAACCCTTAGGGACATCCATACCACTTGCAGATGTTGTTAATGTACTCTAAGAAACAGTTTCGGGGATTTAGGGAACCCTGAGGAATTCAAGTGCAAACGTCTCTCAATATCTTGCCTCAGTTTCCGATATTAATAACTGTGTTGAGTGCTAGCAGCCAGGAACTGTATCATTGCTTTAAAGAGAATTTAAAAAGACAGATTATGTCAAAAACACTCATAAAACTTGAATGTGGAAGTTTTTTTTAAGTAATAATCTCATCGCTGAGGATTTTCAAACTCGTGCTCCATGGAGCCATAGCACTACTGCTTGAACCAATAGACCTCCATTTTAATTGCTTTAAATAATTGAGCTTCCCAATTAGAGTTCAATTGCTTTAAAAAAAAAAAAAAGTGCTTGAAGACCACTGATCCAGTCCATTTTAAATGCAAAGGGGAAACTGGGGCTGAAAGAAGCCCTGGAATTTGCCGGAGACCACCTATTTCGTTGGCAGAACTTGGTGGCACAACACTATTGGAGTGGGGTGGAAGGTTTCTTACTGTCTCTGTCCACTCTTCAGAGTGTCTGTTCCCAGATTCATCAATGGCTGAACCAAATCTTTCCAGTACTTCACTGCAGAGAAAGTCAACCCTTACTGACTGGCTCCCTTTCATACTGGACCCTGTACTCTGCTTGGCACACTGTTCCTGCATGATAATAATGACAAACGTTTCACTGACAACTGCTGGAAAGTAATTTTAAACTCCAAGTCTGTACTTTTTGCTCCCATTTTGACTATCACTGATAAAAATCTCTTTACTAGTACTTCATTATAGATGAAGAGTATAGAGTTAATATTTGTATGAATATTTGATGATTCTAAGGTCATGTCTATGTAAAAAATTCAAAAGGTATTTTATTTTTATGAAAGATACGCTTTTATTAAAATGTCTGAACTCTGTTGTCTGGTATATAAACAAAGATGAAGAGGTATCTCTGTGCTTATCCAAGTTCCCTGAACAGCTGGTTACACAGCGGGCTAACAACGTTTATATGTCAAGGCTACCACATACTGCACAACACATTCATTTTGTAGCAAGCACTTCAGTGGTGAAATGTAGCATCTGATAAGTCTGGACATAACTTGGCTTTATGTAGCAAAAAAAAAAAAAAAAAAAGAAAGAAAGAAAAGAAAAACTCTATATAACTTAAAACAGTGATTTTGAAACTGTGGTTCCCAATCATTAGTGAGTTATGAAATCAATTTAGTGAGTTGTGAGAACATTAAAAAATATACACGCACAAGAGTCAAAAGTATAATAGAAGATAAAATATCAAAGCGTGTTGCATGCCTTAAGAGTACATATTATTTCATAAACATACTGGGTCATGATATAAAGTATATTTCATAGCCCTCAGTATTGCCCTAGTGAAAAACATACTTGGCCATTCAGTCCCTTGAAAAAAGATTTCTTTCTTCTTTTTTTTTTTTTCATTTCTGGGCAACGGCTCCTCATCCTGAGTCCTATGAAGTCCCTCTCTCCTCAACACAATAACAATGATCTCTGAGCACCACCATTTCCTGGTTCACAGCTAACTACTGGACACTTCCTCCTGTCATAGCCCCATGAGCTCAACTGAGTGAAAGTTTCTACAGCAACATCCGAATGTGGGTCAGGAGAAGCCGCAGGTGCCTGCTACCATGTGCCAGGCATGAGGCCAGGGGCTACAGACGTGACTCTTTACAGATAGGGTTTCCTTTCTTTTATCTGTAGCAGTGCCACACCTGGACATCTCAAGCTCCTAGCATAGTATACACAGAGGCTGAGTGAATATTTCCAAATAGATGAATTCAACAATGAACATATTCCATTGGTTATAAACCATATAAATTCAACAAAATATAAGTATCAAATAAAATGAACTATTTAATCATTTCTTTATACTTAAGAAATACAAAAGTACTATAAAAGCTTTACCTGTATTGATCAAAACATGACAGTTGTATAAAAAGCTGAGACACTGGCGTTCTGTGGTAGAAGTAGTAATTATATTACTTCAGCATCATATCTCATGTGGTAGTTATACGACATTTACCCTTTGATTTTAAGCAGTTATAAACTTACTATTTTAATACTATATATTCAGTTCTAGTAATTACTGTCATCTAAAATAATTTAATAGTAGTAGTACACGATATTGAGGGAAAAAGAAGAGTTAAAATTTCCCAAATGTTTGTAAGAAGCACATCAATGTACACCTGATTTGGAGGGTGAATATAATCTGGCCTATGATTTAATGGAATCCAGAAGAGTGAACCAAAGCTTTTTAAAATAGGATACTCACGTTGATCAAGTTCAAACCCTTCATCTTCCATATTAGGAAACAGCTGTACACCAGGGTAAGTGACTTATCTGAGGTCACATAATTACTCAGTAAGACAGATGTCCAGGTCTCCTAATATAGAATCTTTTCCATTCCATAACAAAGGTTTATACTACAATAAAATCACTTTTTAAAAAGATCAATTAAGATATCAAGGAGAATAAATACATGATAACATTTTAGACTTAAAATAATAACCCTAGAGCAAGAGTTTAATAAAAATATTTGTTGACAAGTGTGTTCAAGTTACCATAATTAGTGTGGAATACAGTGTTATAAATATTGATGGTAGAAGTTCATTGGTACAGTAGTTCATTTGCACATTTATGTATCAGTCTTATGTATTAGCTATGTTTTCATCTGTATCACTTGAATTAAATTTTTTCCACAAAAAGTTCTCATTTGATTTCCAAAGAGAAGTTTCCAGTTCCTCTTTCCTTTTGGAGGATGCAGCAGGGGGCACTTTTTCACATAGAGTCTCTATCACTGCCAAGTTGGTGAGTTTACTAAGAATGTCGTCATTCTGCTCATTCAAGATGTCCCAGAAATCTTTTGGTCTCTGTTTTGCTTTTTCCATGGGCCCTGAAAGAACTTTCTTTGGCAGTTGTGTGGGACTATTCCCGTGACTTTTAAAGAGGTCATCGAGAATAGAGGTGTCACCAAGTAAGCCTACCACAGAAGCATTTTCTAATGCTGGATTTTCTATCTTTTTGTTTTCCACTTTGAAAAGGGATCCATTTCTTGAAGTGCCCGTTCTTGTGAGGTCCTGCTGGTCTTTCATGGTATTTTCTAACGTTCTCTCATATGCTTCAGACTTACTGTTTAGGGAACTGGATGCTATAGTATCTTTGGATACTTGGCTGTTTTTCCCATTGTCAGCCTCTTGGGTAGAGCTTATTGGTAATTTCTTAGTTACTACAGCATTAGAAAATACCTCTTCTCTATGGAAACCATGATTTTGAGACTTAATTGATTTTTTCCTGTATATTTTTGGGCTGCAAATTTGAGGAGTTTTTTTGGTAGAATCTTTAAATGACAAAGTTTCAGAATCTGGCAGCCTTTCTTTTATAAAAGACTCTCTCTTTTCAGACTTATTCCTGACTCTCTTTCTTTCCTTGTAGGCAGGTTTATTGAATTCTGTAGCAGAATCCACGAAAAATTCCTTTACTTCTGGATATTGAGAAGCATAAAAGTCTTTTAGCATTTTCTGTCGTTCTTCTGATGTGGCATTAGTTATATGTTTAGCAAATTCTTTTACAGAAGACAAATTGAAATAAATAGCCATTTCTTCAAATTGTTTTCTGAAGATTTAATGAACAAAAGCAGTGGTTATTTTTCTTACATTTTACTTTTAAAGAACTCATCATCAGTGATATGAAATGTAGAAATGAACCAAAGTAATCTTATTCATGTAGTATATATTAGCTTAACTCCTTAATAAAAATGAATTTTATACTAGCAGAATGTGGCCTCTTTCCTTGAACTATTGAGAAAAATATTCTAGCTTATGAAATCATCAGCTTTTTAAATTATTCTGATTTATATTATGAGGTATTTCCAGGGAATTATGGGATCTCAGCATGCTCCTCCAGTCAACCAATTTATAACTGACATGAGAATCATAATTTATATAATCTGTATTTCAAAATTTGCATTGCATTCAAGTTCCATGAAATAAAGTTGTCAAAGAAAGTCCTTAATAAATAGAAAACAGAAAATTCTGAGGAAAATAGAAAGGAATTTTTACTTCTCTGTCCTTTTTTCCCTTTCTTCCACACAAACAGAACAACTTTTTGATGAGCCTAAAGGAAAGTTCTAAACTGATAAACCTAGATTCTTTCTTCCCCCAATTGGTCCAACTTCAGCATAGAGAGCTAAACTAAGAAGTGAGATGCTACTTGAAGAAGCAAGTTTAATTCTTAGTATAAGATATGAATAAAAGCTCTTACATGCATATGTGAGTAAATGCGCCTTCTGGAACTCTGGTAAGATGGAGGCAGAAAATTTGATCAAGAACCCTAGGCACTAGACTCTGCTCTTTTTCCCAGTTGAGGGTGCTGTGGATTGAACTGTATTCCCCAAAGTCATATGTTGAAGCCCTAATTCCCAGTGTGACTATATCTGGAGATAGAATCTTTAGGAGCTAATAAAGTTTAAATGAGGTCATCAGAAGTCATCAGAGAGCTCTCTCTCTCAGCTATGAGAGGATACTGTGAGGAGGTGGCTGTTTGTAAGCCAGAAAGAGAGCCTTCACCAGGAATCAAACCAACTGGCACCTTGATCTTGAAACTTCTCAAGCTCCAGAACTGTGAGAAAGAATTTTCTGTCATTTAAACTCCAGCTGTGGTATTTTCTTATGGCACCCCAAGCAGATTAAGATAGAGGGTACTGCTTTGCTGATGCTGAGTTTGGGTCATGAGTCAGGAGAGCCCAATGTTTGTAAACATTCCTTTTAACAAAAGTCATAGCCAGTATTGCAGCATGTGATTCAAAGTCCCAAAGTTTTAGGATTATATCTATATTTTATATAATACTTCCTTAAAACATTGATTTATTCATTCAACAAATACTTACAGAGCCCTCTTATGTGCTAGACACTGTAGTAGGAACTATAGAACAGTGAACAGCCCTAGTTTCTTATCTTCAAGGACTTTATAGTCTAGTTGGAAGAGACAGATGCATGAAAATCATACCAGAAGGGAATGGTAAATCCCATGATGGAGGTTAATGCAGGGCCCTGTCGGCGCTTACGTTAGAGGTGCCTAAGCCAGTGACTGGCAGTGGGAAAGGTAGCAGGCAAGCCTTATCTGCTGTTGCCTCAAGCCAGTCAGGCAAAGATGAGTGAGGAAGCCTTCTAGGGAGAGAGGGTATGTGCACAGGCCTAGTTCTGAGAGGACCTGGTGTACAGAGGGGTAGGAAATAAACTGCCAAGGAAGAGGCTGAAAATCACGAGGGGTCTGTATGCCAATTTCAGAAGTTTGAATTTTATCTTGCACACAACAGAGAATCCTGAGGGTAGAATAATATACTTTTTTAAAAAATGTGTTTAAGTTGGAGCTTTAAAATCACTATAAGTTTTGCCACCCAGACCAAGTTCTATAAAGTTTGTCTTTCCTTTGTAGTGGTAATCCATACTGCATGCCCATGACTTTCTTTCGTGGCTTCAGGTGAGCACCGTGGCTTCCAGTCCTTACCACTCCTGTTAACTGTTCCAAATCCAGGTACTATCTCTGCCTGATCAACCGCTACTCTCATCGCCAATAAAATATTTAATAACACAAATACAAACTTCTAAATTTCTGTCCTGGAAAAAATTGCCAATGTTCTTGTTGGAAAGCAACAAGCATGTCCTGAAAAGGTTCCAATTTTCACTTCACATGAAGCAATGAGGTATTATTTTGTTTAGTTATCATCTCCAAATCTATTTTCATGGTCTTTCTAATAAATATTTGTGCCATGAAGATTAAGTTATCAGCAAGGTTACAGGCTGATGTCTTTTATTTACCCAAGACTTGATGCTGTCTCAGAAGCTGCCAAAGGACTTATGCCTTTGCTGTGCTGACCTTGCCATGACCCTGTGATTCTGTCACCTCTGGGAGGAGAGCTGCTTTTGACCCCATTTTATTTTAGTATGCAAGTCAATTATGCTGCATGGTTGCCCTCTACAGAACGAGTTATGATTGTAATTCATTTTATTCTGTCTTTTAACTTGCTTTCATAATTCTGGGTCTTTAAAAGAACTTTCTCTAAAAGTTTAAGGAACTGCAAGGTATGTCCACGGGGTATAAGCTAGCTATTTTGTGAGGAAAATTTAGTAAATCAGAGCCACTTAGAGAAAAAAAGAAAAGAAAACCAAAAATAGGTATCTTTCAGCAAGTGTATCTGGAGTGGTTGTGTACTATGGATAAAATTCAAATTTCTCTCTACTTTTCTTAAGGAATTGGGGGAACAGGGTGGAACACAGCTAAAATGATCATCTTCTCTCTGCTTAAGCTTTCTAAAGAGAAGGTAAGACTGAACACTTCATTCAGATGATCCATGGGGCTGCAGCATGGAACAGTCTTGATTCTCATAAAATAGGATGGTTAGCAGGGAAGAGGCGTCAACAGTTTGGACACTGTTCCCTAGTTCAGATGTTGGCATTCCAATATTAGACACTCTTCGCCAAACCACCAAGGAAAGCATCTGGAATCCACAGTGCCACCATGACTATCCTCAAAGGCCATGAGGACCAATGCCTCCCATCCCTGTTTACCTCATCCTATTCCTTGGTACCATAACCGCTGACCTCTCATCTCCTCCCACTCTGTACATCCCTTGATCTAATCCAATTACCGATCGTTCCAGACCATCCCTTGGTGCCCCTGAACCAAGCTATGATACCAGTTCCTCTGTGTCTCCTGTGCTGAATGGCCCCTCAGTTGCCTCTTGAGACTGCCTTCTCACATGCAGCCCTTATAGGTCAAGGCTCATACCTCACACCCCAACCTTGGTTCATGCTTTATATTGCTGCGTCCAGACCATTATTTTCTTAAAAACTCCTTTCCCTCTATAAGGTTTATGCTATCCAGTTAAACCATTCTCTCCCCATTTTGTTAACTGACCCCTTAGTTGCTTCCTGCTAGTGACTGAAAACTCAAGATCCTGGATTACTGTTGCTTCCTATCCATCCTCTGCCATCATTCTGATACTTACCGTCAATATCCATGTGGATGTCCTACCCAACTCCTGGTCCACCAATTTCTTTACCTCCAAAGGCTCAATTCCATGTCAGGTCCCTGTTCTCAAGGTCCTATACTGCCACTGTCATTACCATTAACTGTACCACCTCCAAATTGCTGAATTCAATTATCACCTTATACTCCAGCTCAATTACCCTGTGACAACAATGTTGGAATCAAGTCTTCCAATTCACTGACTCTTCTGCTTTCTCACTATCCCTTCGTCCAGCTTAGGTTCAATTTTATAACCACTCCTTGGCAAACGTCCTTTAGCTTCCTTGCTTCTCTCTCCCTCCATTCTAACCCCTAGCAAAATCTAGCCATCTCCTATTCTGTGTTTGCCATTGAGCAACTGAAGTTTGTTGAATGAAGTCTGCATGACTGCACAGATGTTTTTACTGGAATTGTTCTCAAACAAGGATTTGTTCTCACCAAGAATTCTAGTCCTACTAAGCCTGCTTTCCTACTTTATAAATGATTTATTTCATAACTTCTCTCTCTCTAAATCTCTCTCTGAAAGGATAACTTTAATTCTCAATTAATTGAGGAAATATTACTGTATCTTCATCTCTTCCCTTTCAATGCCTCTCAAAGGCTGGAACTACATGAGAGGTCTAGATCCCGCCCTCACCTGCCTCCAGGACTCCACTCTTCCTATTATCACCTCTCTGGCATGATCTCTACCCAACACACAAACAGGTTCTATTATTTCACCAACTTAAAAAGCCAATCCTTGATCTCACAGTGCCCTCCACCTACTGCTACTTTTCATATCTAAACTTAAAGAGCTATGGCAGGTCTGCCCAGTTACTGTTTGCCCACCTCACCTGGTATTTGCCTACCCAAACTGCTCATGTCAAGGCACTCAATGAGTTCTCTGCTGCCAACTCCAGAGGGCACTTTCCTACTTCATCTGATTCTGGTTCTTAGCAACATTTGATAAAGTTAAGAGCTCCCTCCTTTTCGAAATTCTCACTTCTCTTGGACTTCAGGACCTCACACTGTGTCTCCTACAATAGTGTGTCTCCTACAATTGTCACCTCCAGGTTCAGTCCTGGGGCTGCTTCTCTTCTCTTTATGCTCTATCCATAGGCTGTTCACACAGTCCCATGGCTCTAAAAACCATTTATGATCTCTGTGATGATGACTTCCAAATTTAGATCTCCAGCCCCCAAATCCCAGAGTAGCATATCCACTGCCTAGCTGACATGTCTATAGAACCTCAAATTTAATATGAGCAAAAGAGAATTTGTGATTTGTTTTTAAACTTCAAGCTTGTTTCTCTCCTAGTTTTCCCTATTCAGTTAATCCAATCTGTTGCTCAAGACAGAAAGCTAGGAGTAATCCTATCTTCTCTCTTTCCCAACAACCAGTTCAACACCAAACATATCCTTTTGGCTGTGTCTCCAGGGCAACCACTCTGTTGCAAACCACCATCACCTAGTTCCTTATGGTTTCCCCTAGTCCACTCTGCCCTCTTCCACACAGAAGCTGGAACAATCTTTTAGAAACATACATCAGATATATCATGCTTCAATAGCTTTCTACTGCATTTGGAACAAAATCCAAACTCTCCCACAATCTATGAGGCTTTGCATAATCCAGCCCCGTCTATGCACTACCTTCATCTCATGCCACTCTGCTAGGTTAATTAAGTACTAAGTGCCCTAATCTTCTCTCAGTTCCTCAAATACACCAAACTTCTTCTCTCTTCAGGGATATTCTTACTCTGGTTCTTTGCCCAGCTATCCTTCAGGTCTCAACTTAAATGTCACCTGTGTAGCAAAGGTCTTCCCTGACTGCCCAATAGAAAGGTAGCTGCACACTTCCCGATCCCATTATTCTCTATTAAAGAGGCCTATCCTTTTCTTACTTATAACACACCATTTTATAATTAGTTTTTTATAAGTTATTTTTACTTTAAAAAATTTTATGGTTCAATGCCAACCCCTATATCCCACTGTCTTTTTTTTTTTTCACACTGTATATTCGGCACTCAGCACAATGTCTGGGTGCATACCAGGTGTTCGATACATGTTTAATGAGTGAATGAATATAATGTACTTAATTATTTTATTTATCTATATCAATTGATTTCATTTATCAATTAAGGCATTAGCTTTCTAAAAACATCTAAAACATTTAAAACTTATTTTTTAAAGTACACAAATTCAGATTTTTCTGAAATATGCCAGGTATGATTAAAATTCAAATAATTTGTGTATTTTACTAAGAATTTATATTTCTTTTAAGAAATAAAAATTCTTTTTTTTTTTTTCTTTTTTGCTGGGAGAAGCTGATTTTAATCATTGTCATTTCATCTGATGTAATATTTCCCGGGGTGCTTTTAGCTGGGCTTAATTTTCGGCTCCCAAATAAGTAACACAGGGCACGTTTCTCACATTTCTTGACTCCTCCAAGAATTATTCTTAAAGTCCAATGTTGTTATAGATAGCATACCTGCGGATCCCTTTTGGTGTTTCTCCAAGTATAAAGGTTGTCTGGTCTGTGTGGTAGACTTTTTTCTTCTTCTGGCTCACAGGGTGTGAAATGTAAAGGGGACATGAAATGCCTCCTTCACTTGATTGTTGTCCTTTCTTTGTATGTGTCAATGTATCTGCCTTCATTTTTTCTTTATTTGTCTGAAAAAAGGGAAGGAAGCAAAAACTAAGTCTCGAAAAATAGTCATTTTTGGTCAAATACGATTGTGTTACTTTTCCCCAGTATCCTTTATAATCAAGTATATCATTTTATCTTACTGATAGCATTGTCAGAAGATGTTAACCTAGATCTTCTGGATCTTTCTTAAAGACATTAAAGTAACGGAAATACTATGTTTCCATTATATCTATGGTTTAAGATATACGTTAAAGGTATATATCTTTCTTAAAGTAATGGCAATAATATCATATTTCTATTGTCAAGACTGTGGGCATACTGATGCACATGCTGACATCTTAAATAAGGATGAAAATTAATGATTATATAAATAATGGCATAAAAATTGGATATTAAAAATTTTTTAATTCAGTACTTTCTCTCAAATTAAGTGAACTTGCAGTTATTTAATTTTACATAAGTAGCCAAACTTAAAAACAACCATCTTTATACAATAATTAAATAGGAAATCATTTTCGCAAATTTTACTTTTCATCTCTACTGGGTTATAAGAATATTTAGTGATTTTAAGATGCTTAAATCAGTTGATTGAAATTATAGATAGAATCATATTTATTTTACAGACTATGGGTTGCTTGTTTAACATAAGTTGTTAAAAACAGTGGGTCAAGAAAAAGTAATTTTAAACTATATGGTTCCAATTTCCTAACAAGATAGTATGGTGAATATGTGGAAAATTGCAATCTCATTCCACAAAGAGAAATACTGGATAAGATTTGACAACAACGATGAAATTCTATTTAAGTTAAAAGTAAGAAAAGAAAATCTTTAGGTGCCAAAAACAAAGAAGTAACATAGTGGTGAGTGGGAGCTGACGCTCACTAGGGTCTTATGTCATAATCTGCAAGACCTATGTGTAGAGAGAGAGGAGATGAAAATGATATAACTCCTTAATTTAAAAAACAAACCAACCAACAGGAATTAAAAGATTATCAATGTGCAAATTGAAGCTAGGAAATCCCAAATGGAGACACGGGATAGAAGCAGGTTACCTTCTTACTCTAGATAAAAACAATCACTGGTGAAAAAATGGAATGCCCAGCCTGTACCATTTGTAGAACTTGATTCTGTAGCACTTGGTAGTATGGAAAGTCTAAGGTAAGAACTAACAAATAGAACTGGACTAGAATTAGTGAAAATTATAGATCTAAATGAGGGGTGAATACGAAAACATACTACAGGAAAACTTCCATAATCTAGAGAATACTTGTGATTCCAATGGGGTTGGGGGAAGGAGTTCGGGCAAAAATTATAAAGAACATATAAAACCCACCATCATGAAAGTGGGCAAATGCAACAAATGAGAAGCCATAACTGAGGAAATACAGATAATAAAGCAATCTGAAAGAAACTAAATCATTGCATGTACAGAAAGACAAAGGAAGGGATAGAATCCATCATCAAGAACTGGGTATTATATAGTCAGATCTGAGAAAACCTGATATACAAACTCTAAAAAGGAAATACGGTTTTGAACTGAAAAATAGAGATAGAAACAAACTCAAAATATGGATTAAAGAGCAGACTAAACAGCCCTACAATGATAGTTGATAAACTGGTAGAATGAAATTACTCAGAATGCAGTAGAGATTAAATAAGGGGGTGAGGCGGGGCGAGAGAGAGAGAGAGAGAGAGAGAGAGAGAGAGAGAGAAAGGGAGAGAGAGAGAAAAAGAAATAAGGAAAGAAAGAGAAAAAGAAGTTAAGAGACAGAAGACATAGCCAAATTTCTAAAATACCAGGAAAACAGAAAAAGTGGAAGAGATAACGGCAGAAAATTGAAGAAGGCATGAATCTTCAAAATAAAAAGAATCTCTAGTGGAAAAAATCAAAATAAACCTTACCTTGTTATATCATAAAAGGAATATCTTTAAAAATATCAGAAAGAAAAGATAATATATCGCACAAAAAATGACAATCAACCTAAAGGCAGATTTCTCATTAACACCACCACCACCAGAAGATAATGAGATAGTGTCTTCGATATGCAGAGAAAAAAACTGTCAACCTAGAATTCTATACCCAAACTACATTTGAGAAAATTTTCAGACATACAAAGACTACAAGAGTTTACTAGATAAAGATTCTTGTTGATGACATATTGTTCTCTTATAGGTGTCTGATGGGATTGAAGTGGCACATATCAATGAATGTGGGTAGGGAATGGCTTTTTCATTTTACAAATATTTACGAAGTACCTATTATGTTCCTGGTACCATGTTCTGCAGTTGAGAACAAAGATATTTACAAATACAAAGATACAAAATACCCTTAAGGGAATATGTAAGATACCCTTACATATACATATACAAAATACCCTTAAGGGAATTAAAATTGACAAGCCCATTTTTTAAAAAAGATGGTACATTTAGATTTTTTCTTTTTAAAAATATATTTATTTTTATCTCAATTTATATTCAGGTTCATTTTACAGAAATAAACTGAACATAGGATAAAACAGACACAACTATATGCTCTTTAGTAACACTAGTAACGCATAATTTCTAGAGAAAATAAAATGACTTTTCAAAATCTACTATGACTCAGATGAACAAACACAAAATGCTGAAAGCACTTTCCTTAAAGATTTAATTTGTTAAATCTTAAAATATTATTAATAAAAAGAAGAAAATGCTGTCCTTTAAAGATAATTTTAAAAGATATTTGATGCATTTATTTTACATCTCAAGAAAACAAGATGAATGCTAAAAGTTCCTAATAAAAAGGCTCATTTTCTTAGATGATCCCCAAGAAAGAATTATCCATTAATTATCCATTATTGTAAGGAGGGATGTGAATGTTTACATGACGGTAAAGGGAGTAAACAGAAAGAGAAGTAACTGGGCCAACCAAGAACACTCCCTCCTCATATATTGCAATTTCTGAAGCCATGGGGAAATCATGCCAGGAAATGGCAATTTTTAGTCATTTACATGATTACTCTGGGTCTTTCTGACCTTGGCAGCATTACTAACTAAGCTCACATTTTGTACAGATATATTTTTTCATAAATCAATTTATAAATTCTTCAGGAGATTTCAGCTTTTCCAACCACAGCTATCAGACATGTGGATCTTTAGTTTTTGTCACATATTCAACATTTTAAAACTTGATTATTTTACACAACAGTAAAAAGAGAAAAGCATTCATCTTTCACATGGGCTCAATATCTTTAATTTAAAAAATATCTATGTTCAGATTTCCACTTTAGTAGGGTACTTTAACATTTTACTGAAAGAAGGCTGTGAAACAAAATTTTGTTAGTTAATTCAATAAACTTTGATGCTCTTTTATCCTTTACAGTAGTATGCAATCCAATATAGAGATGAAATACTTTACAATAGTATCCTTTACAGCCCTTTACAAAAGGATACAATAGTATAGTTTACAACATCTTTTACAAGTGATACAAGGAAAATAGTGCCATAGTGGAGCTGCAATTGTAGTGACAGCTATAATTTATTAAAAAGCAAAGTCCAAGGCCTATGGCCAAGATGAAAAGATTCTGGATTATGTGAACTGGACTCAAATTTATTCATTACCACTTATGTCAAAGCTGTGAAGTCATATTACACTGAGGCAACACTATGAAGTAGCAATTGTAATGAAAGCTCAAGTAAAAAAAAATTCAGTAAAATGAGCTAGATTATGAATTTAAGATAGAAGATGAGCTTGCTTAAGAAAGCAAAATAAATCTAGTCCTCTTTTGCCCAGAGAATAAAATGGCCAACACCAGGAACACTATGTCTATATTTTATAGGAAATTTTGCAAATGTGAAGAAAGCAGAAATTCTAGTTTTTGAAAAATAATCTAATTGTTCCTAACTTTTTCCTAAAAAGTTTTCTTCAAAATAATCCATCAAGATATGCCTTGAGGAAGTACCTCTATATTCCCTGATTCTGATGAAGGTTTCCTTCATCTTTAAATTTATGGTTATTTTGAGGAAGGTATTATGAAAACAAGAACTTTGTACAGTATTTGTATAGTATAAATACTTCTGTTAATAAGTATTTTAGAAAGCTTGCCATTGTTAGAGTATAATTTCTAACTTAGTAACTGCCATGTTCATGATTATTTCCATAAGTTACTGGGTATTATTATGTATTTCTACTATAGTATTTATATGAAAAAAAATCAAATTCAACTTATGGAATCTTTATTAAAAATAAAACTTAGTAAGCATAAGGAATACAGTAATCATTTCTAGATAATGTAAACATAGTTAAAAATCTATTTGATGATGAGATTAATTAAATGGAAATGGGGGTTACTTAAGAAGCCAAATTTGTCAGAGAATACTGAAGTAATAATTCTAATTTATGAGTAATATATCTTCCTTCTTTGGACATATACATACTATATGGAGTAGTCAGTTGAATTGAAAAAGTATTACAATTTAACAGGTCTAAAAGCGTATAAAGGGTGTGCTATGGCTAAGTCCAATTTGACTTATATAATTGAAAATTTAAACGCACAATCTGTTATCTTTACAAAAGTGATTATTTGTTATTAAAATAAGATTCAGAATATAAAAATTATTTAATTAAAATAATATATATTATTTCTATAAATGATAATTGTTCCAATATATTTTGGCCAAAATAGTCTCCTCACCTATCCACAATTAAATGTTTAATTTGGAAATGGCTCACTTCAGAGACTTAATGAATATTTGCTTTGATTTAATTTTGATAAAGTTATAAAATCATTGTTGAATAAATTTAAAAAATCATTGTTGATTTTTCTGATGTATCTATAAAATATGCTTGAAAATGTTTCATAAAAATTACTATTTAAAAATGTATAATGTATATATTCCGTAAAAAAAAGCTACAATTATTTTAAGTTGTAAAATAGGATTATAATAAGTGAGGGGGCACTTTTGTAGGAAAAAATTCCTTCCACAGTAGCCAAAATGAATTCACACTAGAACTAATAAACTGTGCATAATTTTCTACAACTTA